AAAAAAAAAAAAAAAAAAAGTTTATATATACTAAAGAATCGCTCGTCCTCGTATATGTTTCAGCGCGACAATGAGTACACGGGGGCAGAGTCCGCGGTTGCTGCTGCTGGGCCTACTGGTCTTGGCATTGTTGGTGGGCTTGGGCGAGTCCGTGGTGCTAAAGACGCGCGCGAGGCGGGTCAAGGCCTCCAAGGACAGCCGAATCGTCGAGCACAAGGACATAAACGTGTGCGACATAGAGCAGGAGGAGACGCCGCTTTACTGCTACTGCAACGACAACAAGCTGGCGAGCGCCGAGGACGTCAACTGCTTGATCTTCAATCGGCTCGAGCTGGCCAATCCGATATGGGCGCACTTCAACTCCCAGATGTACATACGCAAGTTGAGCTTTGTCGTGAGGAACGACGGCAGCTTCACGTACATACCCACGGCTCTGCTGCGACAGCTCAAGAGCCTCAACACCATAAGCTTCCAGCACGCGAAGCTCGATGCCATTGAGAACCAGGCCTTTGCCGCCCTGCCCAGCATATCCACCATCAATCTCAGCAAGAACAACATCAACGTTCTCAAGTGGCACTCCTTCGAGAGCTTGAGGAACCTCACCGTCCTCAATCTCGACGACAACAACATTGTCGAGCTCAACAGGTATTGCCTTTTTTTTTTTTCACATTTGTACACGCCCCTTGAAACTGTACACTCAATTGTACAATCATGATCTTTTTTCCTTCTTTTTTTTTTTTTAAATGAAATCGAATATTTTCTTTCGTCTCGTTTCCAAAGAGGTGGATGATGGTTATTGTGCACAACGAGTCAATTGTTTTCTTTGTATGGCAAGCACGAAAAAGTCACCCCTCCTTTATGAGTTACGAATGGTATAAGAAAGAAAACCTTGTCCTCGAACAGGGACATCTTCTACGACGTGCCGAAGCTGCAGAAGCTCTTCGTGAACCACAACAACGTGTCGACCTTGCACGAGAAGGCCTTCTCGCACCTGCCGTCCCTGCAAGAGCTCGAGCTGAACAACAACAAAATCTCGACGATCAACCCCGCGAGTTTCCAGGATCTGCGTATGCTCGAGCGCCTCGACCTGCGCAACAACCAGATAGCCAAGCTGGCCGAGCGCAGCTTCATCGAGATGCCGGAGCTCCAGGAGCTCGACCTCGACCAGAACAGGATCACCAGCATCGCCAACTACGCCTTCGACGGCTTGAGGAGCCTCAAGAAGCTCAGGCTCAGCGAGAACAAGCTCGTCCAGCTCGAGCCTGACTTCCTTGCCGGCGCCACGTCCATCAATCTGCTCGACGTCAGGGAGAACGAGCTGCGCACCATCACCTTTGACAACATCAAGCCCATCGTCACCAACTTCTACAAGAACGCCAGCTACCTGCATCTCGATGGTGAGTCCTTTGTGTGCACTTGTGTCGCCTACGTCGCGTGTTTTTTTTTTTTTTTTTTTTTTTTTTTTCCTCCTTCGTCCCGCCGAGAGAGAGAGCTCTTTCTCCTTTTGCATTGTGACGCGGGGTCGCTGACTTACGAGGCGTGCGGCGTCGATGTGTATACCTACTTGCGACGCGAAAGTGACAGCGCCTCGCGGAGGGCCACAATGGTCGAGCGACACATCCCTCGCGAGGGCCTTGTTTAAAAAAAAAAAAAGTGTAATCCAATTTTTTATTTTATTTTTTTTCGGGTGGTGAAGCTTATTTGGGATGTGTTTTTCGGTTTACTGGAGAGTGAGATGGAAATTGGACGACCGAAAAAAAAAAAAAAAAAAAAAAAAAAAAAAAAACCAGTTTTCACCGGAACCGATTTCCACACGGTCCGTCTCGGTGTACAACTCGAGCGTGGAGTCCCATCCCATTAGTGGACGAAAATAAACACGCGCTGTCTGCATCTACACAAGTTGCATGTATTATTATTTTGTTGAAATAAAAAAAAAAAAAAAAAAAAAAAAAAAAAAAAAAAAAAAAA